CGCCCTTACGTAATTTATGGACGGCCCCTAATCATGGTGCAAAATCAGATCGTTTTCTACGAATTGCTTCACACAAGCGACGCAAAACACTCAAATATTGTCTGTTGACATTTGGCCAGTGGGAAGGAATTCGTGATGTAGAACACCAGGACAATTGAAGAAAACAGCACGTCCTCGATTTTTGACTGACTTTGACGTGGTCATTTCCGTCTCGCTTCACTTTCGAGTGCATTCACTCGATTGTTAAGCTGATTTATTGTCAAAGCATATAGATCTGTGTTTCATCATCCATAATGATGCGTTTTAAGAACGATTCACTTGGAGAAAGTGTTTTCTCGGCCACTCGAACATGTTGTTTTTGAAAAAAATTCAACGTTTACGGAACGGCTCGAGAAGCGACGCGCCGCAAGCCTCCTAATATTTGCGATGTGCCAGGCTGTCGCCTCATGTCGGTATGACTAATTAGTAATTACAGACTTGCAAAATACAATTTCCATTTAATACCAATGTTTTAAAAACTTAAATATTGATGGCCGAGAGGTTAAGGTAGCAACCTGCTGTTCTGGATACCCGGAAACGAATCCGGACGAATGTGGGAAAAACACCAGAAAATTTTCGGGGTGGTTCATCCGGATCCGTTGGCTCCACCCTTCACCGCCTATCCATCCCGTTGTGGGCCTTGTCGAATTCATAATAGGCTTACTAAAAAGGCTCTTAGTACCCGTAGGGATTGACGGCCGCATAGCCGAGCGGTCAAGGTGACAGCCTACCGATCTAGGGTCGAATCCGGACGGGTCGAAAAATCCCAGGAATGCTCCGACCGGATATGTCGGCCCCAAGGAGTTTAAAGTCCTTGTGTCGGCCCCCATCTCTTACCACCCGGCCGCTCCATATGGGCCTGACCGAACCCATAATGGGCTTGCTTAAAGAGGCGTTCTTAATACCCGTAGGGCGGTAATGGTTTAAAAAAAAAATGTAAACATTTCTTAATGAACATAATATTTTCGAACTTTTTTGCTTCAACTTACAAATTTTGTAATAAAAATAATTATTTTGTAAATAATTTTACTAAAAATTCGATCATTTCTGTAATTTCTAGCCGACGAATTAAGCTTATAAGAGATGGCAACACTTTAAAAAAAACAGACGAGAGGTTCGTGTCTTTTGATATAAACCGGTGCTAACGATGAAGTCATGACCTTTGACGTAAGATAATATACGAAGGCCGAATTATCCGAATTTCAGAATACGCAAGATTGTTTCATAAGACTACATTAAATAGATAAAATGCTTCATATATGATTGTTTAACGAATAGTGAGTATATTTGAACCCGAATGGAGTTTTACATGCTAATAATAATGACTGTATAAATACTCTATTTACAATTAATTATAGTCACGTTGATATAATTCAATGCAATTATTTCTATGATATGGCGACATAATCTTAGTAACCAGATACATTAATTAAATATTATAGAAGGCCAAAACATGAAATATTCTTAGAGGTTAATTTTCAATTTAATATAAAATATATACATCAAATTTTTCACAATTAAACACTTAATTCCTTTAAACTTCATTAATCAATACAAATATAGCACTTTTATAATTTGATGAATTCTTTTTACCTGACAGGTAGAGAAGTAGACAAGCGTATTAGGCCCTGGCCAATAATAGAGTTTGTAATTAGTTTCAATTTTTCTGGTTGTCGAACCCACTGTCTCATCTATTGCGATTGTCAAACTCTCGTCTAGAGGGTGCGGTAAGCGAACTTAGAACTATCTAAGTCAGTAATATTAATGCTAGTATGTGGATTCGATGAGACTTAGGTGTCGTGGCTTCTGCTGTTGTTTGCGCGTTGTATTTTTTTTAAAGCATATTTTTCTACGTACTAATAGATTTTTATACATTAAAAGTGATTTAGGTAAATATTAATATTTAGAGCTTGTTTTGTCCCTGCTTGTATGTAAAACTGGATAAAAATGCTGAGCTGGTGCTCCCAAAAGAACTTTAAATAAAGTAAAACAAATAGTTCTTATCCCCTTTTCCCAAATTTCACTTAAAGAATTAATAAGATGTGTGTGTGACTTTTCATTTTGATGAAAGATTTGTTAGTGCACATTACATACCTGTAATAAATGAAGAAACTATGAGAATATGACATGGAATTCTATTAATGTATAAATTAATGCAATTTCCACAATTTTACAAATTTGCCAAGTATTTTACAAAAAGCTTTTTCACTTTGATGGAAAGATGCTGGTTTGAAAATGAAATAAATATAAATGTAATCATGCAGTGAAAATAATTTTTAACCACACTGTTATTGTTATTCTACACACAGTAAATCTTTCATCTATATCAATTAAATTATTTTTTAATTGATCTCTGTAGAAGGTGGTCCCACAGATGGCCAAGTGGATAAAACTAATGAACACTGATGGTTGTGGTTTGCACCTAACAATGAACTGGCCATATGGGGTTTTCTGGGTTTTCTTCATGTGTTTAACATTTGAATAAAGCCATCTGCAAGTTTTCCATTAAACTCCTCACAGGAGGTATTCCCCCATTTATAGATTGCATATGTTTTTGATTTGTCTTTTCTTTGTCAATCCAGTCCAATTCAATCTTTTCAAAAGATACTAAATCAACTTTATTTGAATCTTCTCCATCATCAAACATGCCTACTGTGACAAAATTTGCTCAAAACATCATTAAAAAATGCTACAGTTCTAATGATGATTATTTAATTAATTCAATTATTATTTAATGATTTTTGTTATTTGAGTAACGACCTTCGATGTTTGGAAATTTTTTTTGAGATTTTCCAAAAGTTGATAAGTTACAATTATTTTTTTTCATCTGCAATATTTATTTAAATGTTCTTAAATATTACAATAAGTCTAGTTTGTTGTTTTCAATATGATATGCAAAGCTGAACTTGCCCTTTTATACTACTCATATATTGAAGTTATTTTCAGTAAACTTTTGAGATAGTTTTTCTCATTTTCTAATTTGCTATAATTTTTTTATAGAGTAACATGTCTTTTAATAGCTTGTACAAATTTTTTAAGTTTTTTCCCCTAAAATTTTATTTATCAATGTAAATTTTGAGAGATATACTTCAGTATTTGGATGATGAAATTTGCATATTCAAAATCTTAGCTGAAAATGAATAGTAAATTACGGCTAGTATTGCTAAGGATGAAAATCACTAACATCATATAAGTCAAGATTGTGTTTATATAAATAGAGTAATATCTTTCAGTTAAACTAGAATTATTATTGTAGTTTTATAATTTCAATGTAACTCTTTTTATTTATGTTAATTTTAGGTATTCAAAATGGTTTGGTTGGAAAAAGTACAACGTACCTGGTTAGAATCTTTTGTTATCAAGGTGTTGCAGACTGGTGATATTCCTAAACATGTTGCATTTATTATGGATGGTAATAGAAGATATGCTGACAAGTTAAATTTAAACAGAGTGGATGGCCATACTCATGGATTTAAAAAATTATCAGAGGTAAATATAAAAGTTCTAATGTATTTCAGAAATGAGAATTCATAAACCCAATAAATTTTTAAAAAATTTAATCTTATGTTTTCAAACTTGTAACGTATTTTCATTCATTTGTTACAATGAATAAATCCTGATATTTCCTTGAATAAATTATATACATATTTTTTAAAAACTATAATGAAAATGAAATCTTGAAATAAAAATTCATGCAAACAGTTTCAAATTTTTTTATGCAATTAATATTTATAAGTACAATATAAATATTTTATTTGGGTATTAGATAACATTATCAACACTAAAACATTAAAATGTGTTACATTTGTTTTAAAATAAAATATGTAATATTTCTATATCATATTGATGAAATTAAAATGGTATAAACAAACAACTCTACAAAAACCCGATACATTATATCAATAATAAAGCCAACCACTGCCGCATGCCAACAGGCTATATAGCTGTTATATAGCCCAATGGCATATAACAATGGCAGTGGTTGGCTTTATTAAAATGGTATATTATGCATTTTTTTCTTTTGTAGAAAAATAAAAGATATTTTAGATAAATGAAGTGGTTGTGAATTGAACTATAATAATCAGAATATGAATTTTTTTTTTAAATATTGGAATATTTTTTTGATAGAACTAAAAATAAGAAGTTGACAAAGAATACTATTGATATTATAGAAAAATCGAAAATATGAAAATGGACATATCAGTGAAATCACTTTAATCCAAAAATTTTCTGTTTGATTGATTTACATCCATAACATTGCAATCTTATTAAAGAAAATACTGAATGGCTTAACTTAATTGAGAGGATATTATTATTATCAATTAATAACATTTATTAAGTCTTATATTTTATATTCTATTTTGGATATATATATTTATTATATTAATAGTGACAATCAATTAATTAATGATATAGCATTCATATTTAAATTAATGTAATATTAAGTTGCCAAAATTTATGTAGATTTTATTGAATAGTATATGTTAATTCCATTATCTATGTAATTTTTATTGTTTATCATAAAGATCATTCTTAGGCTATGCAGACTTAATTATATATTGACAGCAAAAGATTTTACTATTGTCACAAGATAAGAGATTGAGAAGCTAATATTGTGCTTAAACTGCTTTTGTCTTATGGATGATGGTCAAATATTCATTGGAAAGTTAGAGATCAAAGAAAAATAGCATATTGATTGAAATGCAAGCTTTGTTCTCACAGTGGTCAGATTCTATGCTATTCTAGCCAACTTGGTACTTTTTGTGTATCTTTTTTCTTTTTTATTAAATGCTAAATTTAGACTTATCTTTTCTTAGATATAATTAACTGCAAGTCTCTTCATTTCAGGTGCTTCTGCATAAAAGTTTTAATATTAATAATACAAGTAATTTTAACTGTTTATTTTCAATTTATATTTATATATGAATCAAATGAGATTAATAGCATAAAATAAATAAATAAATGAATAAATAAATTGATATTTAGTAATGATAAATAAATTATTTGTATTATGATTTGATTGTGTAAATTTATTTAAATTCAATAGATAACTCATTGAAAATAGAATCTACTTTTGAAACTTTTATTGGTAAATTATATATATATATATGATATATATAACAATTAACTATTATTTATAAAACCGTTTTGTTAATTAAGATTGAATCATTAATTAAGAAATGTTCCTTTGAAAGCAGATGTGTTTAGTAATTCATTCATGAATTGATAAACACATGTGGTTTATCATATATGGTTCTTCATATCTGGTTCATCATCTGGTTTATATATGCTAATCAATTCACAAATGAATTGATAAACATACATGAATTAAGTCATTAAAAATTTATATTGTATAGAATATTGTTTGATTTGAACTACAGCTTCAATTTAAAGCTATTCAAGAAATTTTTTTCAAATAAGAATATATTTTTGATTTATCAACATAACAAAGGGTTTAAAGATTTCTTTGATTTCTGTAAACATAGATTGTTATATTTTATATTATGTTATTATTTTAAAGAAATTTAGTTGTTTTACATGTAATTATTATTTATAACAAATTTTTTTTTATTATATACAAAATTTTTATTTTTTAATGATGTACAGTTATTGTAGATATTAAAATTTATATCCTTTTAGTTTAGATTAGTAGAACCCAAACTTTTTAATTGGTGAGCCAAATTGTGCATAAGTCATGAGTAGATAGGCCACAAATATTTTATATATTCCGTAAATACAAAATGTAGGCCTATTTCTATCATTTATAAATGATGTGTGACAAATGTGTATGGACAGGATTAATGTATGGTGTGCGCCAGATTTGGCCTGGGGATATAGTGTGAGGAACTGGGGGTAGATAAGTGTAATCTCTCTACTGTTTATTCAGCTATAGATCTGGAAGATCCGCCTGCAGGGTTGTAAGGTGGAGATTATATTAAAATTAAGATAGACTACAAGATCATAGAATCTTGGTCTTGTCAGGCTCCTGACACCAGCCTAAAATTTAGCATTAGGCATGCTTCTGTGTAATTTAGATAACTCTTCCGAGAGGGGACAGTAGGCAAGTGATAGGATTTTTGCATGGACGTGAGTTCAAGAATGAGACCATGATAAAGTAACAAAACCAAAACATTATTTAATAAGAAATAACAAATAAAATACAGTTATTTAGAGATTATTAATCCCTAGCTTATTCTCAAGAGAGAGTGTTTAGAAGTATTAAGATGTACTACCTCAACTGTAGATCTGGAGTCACTCTTGTATCAATGACAAAACGTTGATGCAGAAGGATGACTGCAGTGGAATTTCGACTCATGGGCGTAGTTCAAGGTGGGAACTTATGGTGCACAAGTTAAATTTGCGGATAAGAGATTCTTATGGCACTTTTCCCCAATTTCTTGTGGACTACTGTTGTTTTTGTGGCAGATCTGTTCTTTTGTAGACTATGTGTCTTCTATGGCAATGTCATATTTCTGTTGACTGCCTGTGTCTATGTGGCAAAGTTGGACTTATGTTGACTGCGTCTCATATGGCAATCTACTCTTTGGATGACTGCCTCAAATGATGGGAAAATCACCCTTTTTATCATCCTTTCTGTCCAATTATATAAAAGAATCCATGGTTACTAACGGGATGTATGAGGACATGGAAAGGGGGTGAATTGCTAGTGCCAGATGGATGTCAAATTTGTAGATAAGGTTTTATGGGAAACGAAGTTGATTTCCTTTTCTAGTGAAAAAGTGATATTGTATCTTTCCTTTTTGTAAATAACTTTGAAAAACTAAATATATTTCCCACGTTATTTAATTAAATGAATCGCGATTCTCACAATAGTTTTAGCACCACTGATCTAGACAATGAGCTTACAGGATATAAGAAATACTTGTAAACATTGTAGTTTTTCAAATTCCAAGTTTTGATGTTTAAATGATAAGGTTAGGAAGGTGTTATTTTCTTTAACATTTTAATTGAAGAAGCCTTAAACAAAAGACTAAAAAGTTTAATCAACAATAAAAAGAAAACAGACAAATGCTGTATTTCATAATTATAAGATTTTGGCAGGGAAGAGACCTGTAATGTTATCAGACATATGTTTAATAATTGTTTACACAAAGTATAAACATGCATTGTACATTAGAATTTTAAACAAATGCTATCTATACCTATTTGACAGAGAATTGGATTCTCATAATTATACTTTGTATTTTTTATTGAATGAATTCTTTTTGTAGCAGTGAATAAAGTTGTGGAATTAATTTTTTGAAATATAAAATCATAATGCTTGTGTTAATAGTAATACTTAGAGTATTTGATAACTGAATCTTGTAATTATTATATTTATTAACTAAACTCCTTATTTAATTTAAGTATATTAATTTTATAGAGAGAAGATTGATAAATATGGTATTTGTGTGAGAGTGCTTGGTGATATAAATCTTCTTCCAAATGATATACAAAAAGCAATTGCTGATGTTGTTTTATATTCAATGCACAACAATAGGTTTGTTTTTATAAATGTTATCAAAATTCATTTATATTTAAAATTGCATTAAACTGAATTTAATTTTTTATATAAAAACTTATATTTTGATTGACAAAGATTTTCATACAAATTTATTATTACAAAATTATTACATTTTACACATTGTTATAAAAAATTGATGAATAATTTGTTATCTTGTATAAGTTTAAAGATATTTATCATTTATTTGTTCAAATTTTACATTATAGTGTTGAAAGTTGCTAAAGTATAAATTTTGAACATTCATGAATTGTTTTTCATGAATGTTCATAAGTTTCAAGTGTAAAAATTTCATAATGAGCTCTTTCTAACAGTTCTTGTCTGCATACAACTAAGCATGGATTTAACAAAGACATCTAACCCTTGATTGAAGGTATATTTAAATTGCATGATTTTGACTTAACACAGTTGGAAAAATGTGAAATCTTTTTTGTTTTTTACACTATAGAACTTTAGTCTAACATGTTTAAAAATTTTTATTACTATTTTATTTAAAATTAAGTATTTTTATTAACAATATATAAAATTTTATTGTACATAGCTTTTAAAATTTAAAATTTTTAAATTTTACCTTTAGTAAAATTTAGAATTTTACTAAAGGTAGTAAAATTCTAATTTTATAAACATCCAATAATCCTAAATGAATGGGCTACAATTTAGCTATTTTAAATAATTAATACAAATTAATTTGCTACTAGATTTAGTTAAGAGATGGCACTACCTCTAGTAGCAAATTAATATGTATTAAGTATTTAAAATAGCTGAATTGTAGCTTGATCATTTAAGTGATTGTTGGATGTTTATATATACTCATTGGGCTTTACAATGTTTGTTATATTTAAAATTCTAATTTTGTTTTTAGCATCTAAAATCTGATTTTTTTCAGTAGGCTGTTCAAATATGCTTACTATTTTAAAATCCATTTTAAAATGAACCACTTTCAAAAATACATATTTCAAAACAGTTTTCAAAGCAAAATTTATAAACCTTTTTAACAGTTTGCATGCATGAAAGCATAAATTTTTAAACTTATTAATTAGAATATTGGATTAGAAAAGTTTTAATATACATATCTAGTGCATTCAATATTCATATTAGAAAGATTATCTTTTCTATCAGTTGACTCATCAATCATCACATGTAAATATTCTGAGTTTGTCCATAATCTCTTTGCAACATGCAAGCAAATAATTTTTATGTAGAATTTTTTCAACTTAATGTTTTCTTTATGAGAATAATTTTTTAAGAATTATTGTATAGCAAAGATATTCAGTTTTAAAAAGGGTAATATTTGTTACAGCAAGAATCCAACAAAAATATTCATAAAATATCCATTTGTTTTCTAAATGAATCAGTGTTAAAAATATTCTAGCAAGCCTTAGCATGTTTTTTGAGAAAATAGAAAATTCTTCCATGTTAAAACACTTAAAAATTATGATTTACTAAAGTCATTTTCTACATGTAACTGTGCATCATCTTTACATAAAATTGACTTTACTTAACAAATTGTAAGTTTGGTAAGCAATTTCTGTGTTCTTCAATTTTGTATTTCTTCTCAGCTATGACTTGTTTTGACAAACATTGCAAAAAATTATCTTTCTATCAATAATTAGCTTTGATGTTTTATATTTTACAGTGAAGTCCACTGATATATTTTATAGCTACAAGACTGCTTAATATTAGAATTTTCCTCTTTTACTGACATAACTATTACAGTAACTTTCCAGCAACAGTCTTTAAACTACTATAGTTGAACCTACTTGTAGTTTGTGAAATGATTGATAGAATTAGATTAACTCACACTTCATTGCTATTTCTTCCTATATTACATTCAAAATACTAATTTCACATGCTTTCTAACAGAGTTCTAGAAAATCTGTTAGAGAGCAAAAGGTAAAACAATAGAACAGTTTTGTCAGAATGGTCTAGAGTAGCGGTTCTCAACCTGTGGATTGCGAGCCCTTTGGAGGTCGAACGACTCTTTCACAGGAGTTGCCTAAATGAGTCACCAAACTCACTGTATTATTGGAACTCATTGTATGATTCATTGGCAAATATTAGCAATGAAGACGCTGCCACAAGAGTTACAAGAAGTAATAAAAAGCGTCGTAAGTTCTGTCAATTTTGTAAAGGTGAGCACTTTAAACAGTAGACTGTTTTTGCAACTGTGCAATGAGTTGGATGTGCCAAACAATGTTCTGCTATTTCACACTGAAGTGAGATGGTTGTCCAGAGGAAAAGTTTTAAAACATGTTTTTGAGCTTTGTGATGAACTCAAAATGTTTTTTAATCAGAAAGCAAGACCACACTTTTGAAGCACTTTTCAGCAATAAAAGTGAACTGTAGAAGATAGCTTACTTGGTTGACATCTTTGCCATCTTGAATGAGTAAATTTATCACTGCAAGGACCAAATGCAACATGTCTCGATTTGTCTGAAAAGATCCTATCATTCCAAATGAAACTTCAGCTTTGGTAAAAAAAAATTGGATGAAAATAAAATTTACATGTTACCTACCTTATCTGCTTTCTTTGAGAAACATGACATTGAACCAGACGAAAGGATTACGATGATAATTTCTGTGAAAGAGCACTTGCACATGCTTACAGACGAAATTTCATCATACTTTCCAAATCTACCTAACACCTCATTTGCACTTGCCAGAAGCCTATTCATGGTCAAAGTTGAAGATGTTTCTGAGACATCTTCATTGAATTTATTAACAGTGATGCAGAGAGAACTGATTTCTCTACAATGCCAGTTACAAAATTCTGAATCAAGTGTTTGCAGTTCTATCCTGTTGTGTCTGAGACTGTGTTGTGCCTTCTTCCATTTCCAACAACATATCTTTGTGAAACAGGATTTTCCAGCCTGTTGGTTATCAAGTCTAAATACAGAAGAAGACTTATTGTGGAAGATGTATCTGTGTTGTGCTCTTGCAAAGATTGCCCCAAGAATTTCTGATCTGGTGAGAAAGAAGCAGTCTCAATCTTCACACTGACATTGGCTTTTATGCATACTGTTGCAAAATGTAGAAATGTAGTTTACTGTTGTTATATTAAGACTGTTACCCATGCTACACCATGCTTCAAGACAAAATTTCATTTACTTGTAATTAGAAATAAATATTTCACAATATACTGTATAATTACATACAATTTGTAAAATCTAAGTGACTCGTACAACATGGAATTCATATAACACGGGATTATCTACAGTGTTATAGGGGGATCGACTGTATTGTTTTTGTGATTAATCACTATGCTTTAATTACATTCAATTTGTAACAATGAAAATAAATCCTGTATATAAGATATTTACATTACAATTCATAACAGTAGCAAAATTACAGTTATGAAGTAGTAATGAAAATAATTTTATGGTTGTGTGTCACCACAACATGAGGAACTATTAAAGGGTGGCGGCATTAGGAAGGTTGAGAACCACTGGTCTAGAGTGACATCCTTCAATAATTTGTTATCAGAGAGGCACTATCTTGATATTTTGTATTTAATTCAAAATTATTTATCATAAATATATAACAATTATAAATTTAAACAGTATTTGTAATATTAAATAATATAATTGTTATATCACACCAATGTTTATTATTATAACTATGAAAATAATAGTATTTTCATGATACAAAATTTGATAAAAGCTTTTTCTATTTTTAGTTTATTCATCAATGTTTGTCTTGCATATACTTCTCAAGAAGAAATCAGTACAGCAGCAAATGAAATAGCAGAAGCAGTTTCAGATGGTATTCTGAAACCTGAGTTAGTATATTTTTATTATATAAAATTTATTTTATGAATAAATGATCTGTAAATAGTAATTTTAAATAATGTGAAGAGATTCAATAAAAAGAATAATTATTGGATGAGAGATAATAGAAATATAAGTTATCTTTTTTCATTATCGATAATTGAGAATATCAATAATGGTAAAAGATTGCTGAAGATTTGAATTGCTAACTCTTGAACATTGGATTTGGTATTATAATCATCAATGACTTCAATTAGTATGATGAAAATAAATAAGCCAAAAGCATTGGTAATCAGATTAGCTCAATCAGCACATTCTTAGCACAGATCCTTAGAGAGGTTGAGGCAGACGTTTTAAACGTGTAGGTCGGACGTTCGGCGCCTAAAAGTTTGACAATGGTGTTTGGATAGTCGGTGGAATCACGCTCGACATTCCAAACACCATCGTCAAACTTCTAGGCTTACAGGAAAGCGGCACCGAACGTCCGTCCTACACGTTTACACGTTTAAAACGTCTGCCTCAACCTCTCTCTTAAAAGATAATACTGTACTTCAAATCTATCATCTTGATTGCCAAATGGTTGAGCAGTTAAGACATCACCCTACTTCTCTGATAAACCTGAGAACAAGTACAGATAAGTTGAAAAATCCCAGAATTTTTTTATGATGTGGTCCACTCCAGATATATCAGGGCCTATCCCTCACTATCCAGTTGCTCCATTGTAGGCTTGGCTGAACCCATAATGGGCTTGATAAAAAAGCCATCTATGAATACAGGGTGAAAAGAACCAGAAAATAATTATAATTATAATTTAACAATTATAATGTATGTATTTAATGCAAAAATGAACAAGATATGTTTTTAACCACACACAGATTCTATATATTTTGAATAATTAATTTTTTTGCAAAAATGAACAAGATATGTTTTTAACCACACACAGATTCTATATATTTTGAATAATTAATTTTTTTACAAACTACAGTCTAAAAGTAAAATTTCTTCTTAATGAAACAATACACAATGTACACAGACAATTTTGTACTTTGTACCTTTTTTACAATATTGAAAGTTTTATGATAATGTTTCCAAGGATCCTACAATCCTGAAAAATTTGAAAATTTCAAGAATTCATTCTTTACTCTTAAAGTTTGGGAATTTTGCTGAAATTTTAGAGAAGTTGAGAAAATGCACTAAATTGTCATTGGCTTGTTTAAATACAGAAACAGAAAATAAAAATTCTGTTTGACTTTTTAATAGAAATGTCTGCTGCACCAATCTTCAAATGTCTCATAACTTAACATTTATATTTAAGTTTTTATAATTATTTACAGAAGCATTCAATAAGATTTGATTGGGCAAATAAGGTGATTAATTATAGAAATTAAGAATTCATTACAAAATACTGAAAAAAGAAGTATTGGTTTACTTTTGAAACTTATTTATTAATAAAAAAAAATTAATAAAACCATTTGTTATCAGGAGACTCATAATCATCAGTTTCATTCTTTAGATTAAGACAAAGAATAATAATCAAAAAATGATGATAAATTCCCAGATTAACCAAAATTGATTTAAGCTTAGTGTTGAGTTTCTCTTGTGGCATTTGTAATGTTTTTGACCATTCAACACAGACTTCAAAACTACTACTCAATGTCAATATACAATAAGTTGTAAGAACAGTAGAAGTGAATTTAAGAACAATTTAGCAATTTAGTTTTAATCTGTATCCATTTGCAAATTCTTTGGGTACTGTACTAAACTTTTTGTTATTGTTTAATATGTTGTTGAAAAAAAATGTCTGCATATATTTTTATTATCTTTTGGAGACTTATTTTGCAGATGTAATTCTGCTTCAATTAAATTGTATAGATATAGTTAGTGTTTTTAAATTGTATCAAGTAGAGTTAAATTCTAAATCACTGATCTTACATCAATTGTAAATCTAATTCTAAAACATAAAAACTTAGTCTTAATTGAATGCCTGTGCATATTGCGAGCTTAAATGTTTTTGGGATTTTTGATTGATCACTATTTTTAGCAATAAAATGAAAGCTAAGATAGTTATGGATTACATTTTGTTAATTTTTTTTTCGTATACTCAAAAGTCAAATAAAAGTTTCAACTAAACTTAAATGTTAATAAAAAATTTATCATCAAAAATGTTTTTACTTTTTTGACTGTTATAGAATATGGTGACTGGTCAAAGTTTGATTCCTGATTTTTTGCATTTATTGACATTGACTTTCCAGGAGTCAAAATATGAAAAAAAAAACCTACAGAATTGGGTGTTTATGTATATTGTCATCTATCTTGTATTATATCTCAGAACTAGATAAACCAAAAATTTTGAAATAGCAGATTTATTTCTGCATATTGATGCATTGATGGTATAAATTTTGGTAATTAAGGTTCAAGGGAGTGATGATATAAAGGGAGGTCATGTGTCATATCTCCAGTGGGGTCGACATATTGAAAATTTTACTTGTTACTAGTTTTATATCTTCTTTAAAAACTGGCTCCTCTCCAAAAGTAAGCCTTTTGCCTTTAAAAATAATATTTATATATTACTGATTATTATAAAAATAAAATCTCATAGCAGATGGCATTGTGCATAACTAACTTTGTGAATTATGAGTAGCAGGAATCATGCAAGAGCTCTTGCCAGCTTTTTTTTATTTGTAGTAAAACTAATTGAAAGATACTTATTTTTTTAACAAAACTTGTTGAATTATTTAGATTATTTATTAATCACTAAATTCATTGTAGGTAGGTGTATTATTGTATGTGATAATTTTAGAAATATCTGAAATGAGCATAAGCACACTGTATTGAACTACTATTGTTTTTCTGTTCAGCTGAGAGCATAGTTTTGCTTTAAATGGATTACTACTTCATTCTTCTTATTAAAACATTAATATCTGTAGAAAGTAATAAATAATTTAATTCTGAGATGTATCAGATAATTTTAACAAATCTGTAAGATAAGTTTATGATAATTATTAATATTTGATGATGACATAAATATCTACATCCTAAAGCATCATCATTACGATAATTTATTGACACTTTTGGTATATTTTGGTTAACTATGAAAATATTTTCATAATTTCTTTTTGATATTTCTGCAGTTTGTCCAACTTAGTCTACATTTCTAGAATTAATATTAAAATTTTATCCAGATGAAATCCATAAATCACAGTTTATCTTAATTAGCACCAAATATAATGTGGAAAATTAAAATTTCATAAGTACAATTTTTATGCAGAAAAATTTCCATAAATGTTGGAAGTTATCTTTCAAAAGTATACATTAAAATTCAATTATATTATTTTATAACCTAACTTTTAATATTTTCTAAAAACAAGTAGCTTTTTTATAACTTTAAATTGTTAAAATATATAACAGAAAAGGACGGCTTGATGACCAAGTGGTTAAAGTGACAGCCTATTGTTCTGGGGAGCGGGGTAAAAAACACGAGTGATTTGTCGAGAGTGGTCCATTCAGATAAATTGGGCTCTATCTCTGATGACCCAGCCAGGCCCACAGTGGGGTACTAAAACTCATAATGGGCTTGCTAAAAAAAAAAAGCCCTCTTAGTGCCCACAAGGCAGAAAGAGAAAGTTTAAAAGTTTTTTTTTCTAAACTCTGCATAATTATTTAATATCAAAAGTTAATCATGGCATACAAACAAACTGCATTATTTTAAAATGTTTATAATATTTAATTATATTAAATATATTAATATAACAATATGTAATATATTTATGTTAATTATATTAAATATTATATTATTTATTTAATATAGAGATGTAGATGAAGAACTTCTTGACCAGTGCATGTATAACAGTTCGGAACCCGATTTACTTGTAAGAACTTCAGGCGAAGTTCGGTTAAGTGATTTTCTTCTTTGGCAGAGTAGCTATTCACTCTTAACATTTGTGAAAGTGTTGTGGCCAGAATACAGTATTTGGCATTTATTTGCTTCTATTTGGAGTTATCAACATTCCCTTAAATATATAAAGGCAAGATATTTTAAAAATATTTAAGTAAAATAATTTGCAAAATATAATAATGATGTGTCCTTTGTTTTTAAGGCTGGTCGCGAGAAACATTTTGAAGCTAGAAAACAACAGACAGAGAGAGAGATTTACAGGCATGCTATATCTGCACTTAGAGATGAAGAATTAACTGAAGAAAAATTGCAGGATTATATTTTAAAGAGAAAGGAAAGAATAAATAATTTTCTATGCCATCTGAAGCATAAGCGTATAAGAAAATTGGAAGAAATAAAAAAAAATGGAGAAGTAAATGATGATTTTTAAAAATAAAATTTGAATATTAAATTTATGAATTGAAAAAAATTTCTTTATACTGTCAGCCATTTTTAATTAGAATTATACATATTAATTTTTGTTTCTTCAATACAGTTTTAACTTCATAAGTTGTCACTCACACAATTACCAGGAATGGAAAAATAGACACTATCCCCTTTTTTTCCTCCTGATGATTGTGAATGAGGCCTATGAAGACAATTTTTCTTTAATATATTAGTTATTTTAATTCTAAAAAAAAAATTATTTTTATAAATTTCATTGCCAAATTAATATAATTTTAAAGTTTTTATCACTATTTAAATTCATTCTGAATGATATTTTGACAGTTATTTTTCTGTTTTCAATATTAAATACATTTATTTCAATTTTCTTTATTTTGTATTAAAAATATGCATATCTCTAAGAATTCCATTTTTAGAATTAACTGTTAAAACTAGTTTGTAAATTTTTACATAAAATTCACTTGTCAAGATGTGAACCAATAACCAAAGATAATGCAAATATGAATAAGGCATACTTGCTGCCAAACCACACAGTTTTTGATGATAGATTCCACAAAACTTTTTCAGGTTACATAAGTTACTTGGGAGTTTTTAACTTTGATTTTCTTGAAAATAACAGAAAATGTACTTCTCAAATAAGTCTTGGCATGAACCTTCAAACCAAGGCTTATCCAGTAAACAGTATTATTGAAATCCCTGAGCACAATCATAAATTACTTAAGTTCAAACTTCTAATAAAGCAATATAACCAAAACTGAAAATGATGTAACATCTGAATTTTTTGCTTTTTGATTGCTTTTAGGTGAGAATCTAAGTTAAAAATATCTTAATTGAAAGTTGGACCAAAATGAAAAAGTTACAGAATGCTTGTGATGTAAAATCAGCAGCAACCCATACTAGTGCTATTATTTAACAAATATCAGATGATAATTTGATATAATAGATTTAATTAACTATTTTATTTATATCTACAAAACTTACCTACTCAAACTTACTGATTGAGATTGCAATTCCTCAGCAGCCTTGCATCATAACTATAAGTCAATCCATTTTTGTAAATTTCTCACTCAAACTCATTGTTTTCTTTTCACTTTTAATAAATTATTAATGCTACTTACAGCAATATGGAAGCATTTGGAAAATCAGTTTTGAATATTTTTTCAGTCTGTTGCAATTTTTCAGGTAGTGTGGAGCTTAGCTTAACGGAAACAAACCTGAAATTGAATCCGTTTTTCAATTTTCGCTGTCAGTTTGTTTTCAGGAAAAATCCATTGATAAAAGGTCAAAATACATGCATTGTGTAAAGATCTCAATTCGTTGTCACAAATTCCACAAACTAAAGCATTTTGAATGTAATTTTTTTTAGTTCTGTGAATCTAGAAATCATTTTTGTAAACTGATAACCTGATGATGGCCTGTTGATCAGGTTGAAAACATTAGTTATAGTAGTAAAAATGATTCTCAGCAATAAGGTGTATATGTTGTATAATATTCAATGAGTCTGAGTGTATGCTGAACTGAAGAATCTAGAAATCATTGCAACAGAGTTATTCCAGGGCCAGCGTGCCAAAAATTGTCTCCCAAGGCAAGCCAAGTTTATGCCACCCTTTTTCATAGTTGCTGATAAGAATATCAAAAGCGCTCAGCAACTAAATAAAGAGAAACAAAACGCCTTTTTTGCCGAGAAATAAATATAATTTTAAAAAACAAACATTTTCAGCCTGGTTAATAGGCCATCTTTAGGTCGAAAAATAAAAATGGAAAATGTTCCATGAATAGAAAAATTTTACATAAAAAGAACATAAAAATTTTAAAATCAAAAAATAACTGTCTTCCCCAACTCTAGCAATGACGGCGGAGAAAATAGAAATATACAGAAGATAGAAGGCTGTTTAAATGCGAGGGATGCGGAGAGCCTACCATCGGCATGGAAATATTTGGTTAAGAAATTTACTAGAAACTTCGACCAGAATTAGTACATTGAAGATTTATGTTATTTTTGTTTTATTTTTATNGGTACAAAATTCTACGAAACTCTCACTTCATCGTTTATGTGTCCGTTAGGGATGTTAAGGTTCTCTTGATCTTCTGCGGTCTCGGGTATTGTTTCCATTGTTACCGATCCTTCCATTAACTTCACTTTAGTTTCGTCGTCGTCGGTTTTGGGCAATGCTGTAGTGGGTGAAGTCTTGCCATAGGCAGAACCTTTGTCAGCTTTTGTAACACGAACAAGTAAATATACACCCGTCATTACTATATACAGAAAATATAAAAATATGTTAGTCAAATTAAAATATACGGATATTTGCAATATAAAGGTTTATTTAGTTTATCTGATCAATATACTGCACAGAGCTCAATTTTAAAACAACTATACATTAATAATAAAACTTCTAAATATATAAAAATCAATTCTAACATATTTCTCATTTAAAAATGTTTGTTGCTGCATAATATAGAAAATACATTTTGCATCTGTTGTATGAGCAATGTTATATACAAAAGTACTTCTAGCTCTTATAAAAATTACGAATGTACAAAATGATAAGCTTTATTGTGAAATGTAATAATAATAATTAAAATAAAATTTCAATATGTTACTGCATTTAATTAAGGCAAAAAAATTTGTTACATAAAAGTATTTACACATTTGAGTGATGGAAATGCATGCTAAACATTTATTTTTACTATTATTATTATTTATAATAATGCAAAAGAGTGAATACGATCATTTAAAAAGATCAGATTTTAAGTGATCTTGAACATTTATTTTTATTTTTGCATTTCTATTTATCTATCTATCTATTTATTCATTAATATGCTTTTTATTAGAAGCTGCAGAGCACACATTAAAATTGCATTTAATTTCTGATTAAAATATTAACACTAGAGAAAAATTTACTGAAATTTAAGGAATTTGTTAAGGAGACAAATTTATATTTTGTAAAACATTATTATTCATTAATAAAATCCTATAAATAACTGCCTATAATTTCTTCTTTTCAAAGTCTTCTCAGTTTTAGATTAACGGACAACAGGATAAATTATTTTTATGTAATAAAAACACATTAAAATAGATTAAGGTTTTAAACTAAAATGAAAGAATCTGTTCATTGAAAATTCTGATAATTTGAAAACAATCAATTCATTAAAAACAGCTAAATAATAAATATTTACTATAATTTAAGTTTAATAATTTCTCCTAAGATTTTTCTTACACATTTTTACACCTTTTTTACACACTCTTACACCTTTTAAATGGGTATTCAACGTTCAGCATTAATTAAACAATTTAAATAACAAATTTGATTACTTAAGTTTTCAGCTTAAAAAAAACAATGAGAAATTAATTATAAATATTAAAAATAAATGTTTAATCTGCATTTTTCAAAAATTATTTATTGCATTGAATTCTAACCTAACTTATTCTAATAGTGAAGTGATTTATTTTAAGTTGTTGTAATTCAATGCAATAAAATACAATCCTTAGATTTATAATTAATAATTTTAATTCAAATAAATTTACCTGTTATAACAAGCGTCCATGCAATCATGATGACAACAGTATTTCCAGAAAGAAACATTAACCATAAACCATAAATAAAAGGTGTTCCCACTACTAATGACCAAAAAATCATATTGATAATGGGATAAGGACGACGAGAAAATTCTATGTATTTTCCAGGAAATTTTCCAGTTTGAAGATATTCCTCCATTATTTTGTCCTGTAAAAATATTTAAAATTTATTGTTGTATTGCTATACTAGAATCTTATTTCTAAGTAAATAATAAATTTGATTCCTTAAGTTATTAATTATCTACTACATATTTCGATCTAAAACTTAAACAGGTTAGTTAACCGTTGTATAACTATTGTAGTAATTTACCGATGTAATAATTAAATTTACCTAATTTATAGAAATGTAAAAATCCTGAAGAGGGGTGCAAATTAAAGAAAATATTGCACCCGAAATGCATAGAAAATAAAGAATATGAATAAAAGCTTTGTCTCTGATTAAATGCGGTCCAGGCACAAAAACGGGGGTTATTTAGGTACAATTAACCCATAAAGTTTTTCCATCAATTTTGAGGAAATATTTTTGAAAAATTGATTTTTTAAAAGTGAAGATTAAGATTATAGCCGATTTTACCCATTTTCACTGGGTGCAATAATTAGGTTACCTCCTCTTTCAAGGCTAATTAGAGAATTTTTAGATGGGTCTAAAAATATGTTCGATTTCACAGAATGCAAGAATTGGGTCCCCTTGTTTCCAGACTAATTAGAGAATTTTTAGATGGGTCTAAAAATATGTTCGATTTTCTGCAAAAACATAAAAAACTGCACCTAAAATATTACAGTAGAAGCCGAGTTCTTCGGGGTAATCCTTAACCCTCTCCATCTCCCCCTTCGGCGGAGTATGTAATGAGAATGCACACTAACTGTGTATCAAATTGCAACTCCTCACCGTTTGGTCTATGTGCTTATTATTATTATTATTAACCCATATCGATTATAATATAAGCTGCATAATAATTTTAGGGTTTAAAATAATCGACAACTACAACCATCACCACCACCACCACCACCACTCTAGGCATTGTAAACAAGGATACTAAAAACAAAATAAATTTTGTTACAACTTGATAAAAGCTATGTAACATACAGTCCATACCCAAACATCAAATCTTGGACAATTACAACAATATATGCAAACAGTCTTCCATAGAAATTACATGACAAATCCTTTGGAATGTCGTCTTATGGCCAGAAGCAGAAATGAAAATGAAAAACACTAGACAAAACAACATGCTAACGCCAAAAGACAGTTATCTAATTCATTGTCAAGCGAGTCCAAATCTCGGTAACCGAAAATGAACTGTGCAAATATATTACACATTGTGCTTTTGCTTAATGTTTGAAAAATAAATTGACTTGTTAATGAATGAGATTTTTTTTTTATTAAAAGTTTAATTTGGATTTGTATCCAAATTAAACTTTTAATCACAAGTAAAATATCGAATGTAAATGCACACATTGTCCTGCAAAAATTACTGGCATTTTAAACTTTTGACAATTGCTATAAGAAAATAGTATCTGAAAGTTCTGGTGCATGTTAATCTAAAAATTAAATTTCAAATAGTACCCAAAGCAGTACTAAAAACACATTTCATGAATTCAACTTTTCCTTCACTTATTCCTTTAGTATTCTGAAAAATGAGGAATTAATATATTTACGAACTGCATCTACCATGGCAATGAATATGTGGTTTGGATAGAAAGTAATATTTGGAATTTTTCAAATAGGCTATAACCATAATAAACACAATGTTGGTTGTTATTGAATCTGCTTAAAATGGAATTTGTTAAGGTACAATAGTTTAGTGATAATTACATATAAATAGTTAAATTAACTATAGTCCTCACTTGTAGATTTAATAAACATCTTTTATTATGTACAGAATAAAAGCCAGATCATAATTCAGATGGTCTGAATCTTTAAATTTAGCTTAATATTTTTGATAAAGAAAATACTTTGATATGCTAATTCAAGCTACTCTGTAGTATTTTGTAATCCATTTATAACAAAGAAAACAAGAATCTAGACTAGTCAGTTCAGCATGTATTGTCAGACTTCCCTCCTCTACATATAAAATTTGAGTTTTCTATTTAATACTGTTTTTACTTGGATATACGACGAGGTTTTTATTCATTTATCAGAGCTTCAAATTCCTAGATTGTCCTATACATGTGAGTGAAAAANTTGCCAAATTAATATAATTTTAAAGTTTTTATCACTATTTAAATTCATTCTGAATGATATTTTGACAGTTATTTTTCTGTTTTCAATATTAAATACATTTATTTCAATTTTCTTTATTTTGTATTAAAAATATGCATATCTCTAAGAATTCCATTTTTAGAATTAACTGTTAAAACTAGTTTGTAAATTTTTACATAAAATTCACTTGTCAAGATGTGAACCAATAACCAAAGATAATGCAAATATGAATAAGGCATACTTGCTGCCAAACCACACAGTTTTTGATGATAGATTCCACAAAACTTTTTCAGGTTACATAAGTTACTTGGGAGTTTTTAACTTTGATTTTCTTGAAAATAACAGAAAATGTACTTCTCAAATAAGTCTTGGCATGAACCTTCAAACCAAGGCTTATCCAGTAAACAGTATTATTGAAATCCCTGAGCACAATCATAAATTACTTAAGTTCGAACTTCTAATAAAGCAATATAACCAAAACTGAAAATGATGTAACATCTGAATTTTTTGCTTTTTGATTGCTTTTAGGTGAGAATCTAAGTTAAAAATATCTTAATTGAAAGTTGGACCAAAATGAAAAAGTTACAGAATGCTTGTGATGTAAAATCAGCAGCAACCCATACTAGTGCTATTATTTAACAAATATCAGATGATAATTTGATATAATAGATTTAATTAACTATTTTATTTATATCTACAAAACTTACCTACTCAAACTTACTGATTGAGATTGCAATTCCTCAGCAGCCTTGCATCATAACTATAAGTCAATCCATTTTTGTAAATTTCTCACTCAAACTCATTGTTTTCTTTTCACTTTTAATAAATTATTAATGCTACTTACAGCAATATGGAAGCATTTGGAAAATCAGTTTTGAATATTTTTTCAGTCTGTTGCAATTTTTCAGGTAGTGTGGAGCTTAGCTTAACGGAAACAAACCTGAAATTGAATCCGTTTTTCAATTTTCGCTGTCAGTTTGTTTTCAGGAAAAATCCATTGATAAAAGGTCAAAATACATGCATTGTGTAAAGATCTCAATTCGTTGTCACAAATTCCACAAACTAAAGCATTTGGAATGTAATTTTTTTTAGTTCTGTGAATCTAGAAATCATTTTTGTAAACTGATAACCTGATGATGGCCTGTTGATCAGGTTGAAAACATTAGTTATAGTAGTAAAAATGATTCTCAGCAATAAGGTGTATATGTTGTATAATATTCAATGAGTCTGAGTGTATGCTGAACTGAAGAATCTAGAAATCATTGCAACAGAGTTATTCCAGGGCCAGCGTGCCAAAAATTGTCTCCCAAGGCAAGCCAAGTTTATGCCACCCTTTTTCATAGTTGCTGATAAGAATATCAAAAGCGCTCAGCAACTAAATAAAGAGAAACAAAACGCCTTTTTTGCCGAGAAATAAATATAATTTTAAAAAACAAACATTTTCAGCCTAGTTAATAGGCCATCTTTAGGTCGAAAAATAAAAATGGAAAATGTTCCATGAATAGAACATAAAAATTTTTAAATCAAAAAATAACTGTCTTCCCCAACTCTAGCAATGACGGCGGAGAAAATAGAAATATACAGAAGATAGAAGGCTGTTTAAATGCGAGGGATGCGGAGAGCCTACCATCGGCATGGAAATATTTGGTTAAGAAATTTACTAGAAACTTCGACCAGAATTAGTACATTGAAGATTTATGTTATTTTTGTTTTATTTTTATGTATTCTTCCGTTATTTTTTTTTCTCTTGTAAAATTTTTGATTTAAAAATTTTTATGTTCTATTCATGGAACATTTACGTTCCATTTTTATTTTTCGACCTGAAGATGGCCTATTAACTAGGCTGAAAACGTTTGTTTTTTAAAATTATATTTATTTCTCGGCAAAAAAGGTGTTTTGTTTCTCTTTGTTGCTGATAAAGGCAAATAAAATCTAGAAAATAGCTAAATTTGAAATAAGTGAAAAAAAAATCTAGATTTTTTTTTCACTTATATAATTGACTAAATCTCAAATCTTGGGGCAAACAAAATCTAGATTTAGATGAGAAAAAGATTCTAAAGTGACAATCACCCAACATGTGGCACAGACTTCATTGTTTTGACTTAAGTAAAATGGCAGTCAATAGTACCTGTTATTGCCACAAGAGCACTGTATCTAAGGTCACAGCCACTATATACCGGTAGTATATTCTAGCTTGTTAATACACTTTTAAACAGTGCACCAACATTTTTGGGCTAATGGAGTGTCAAAAGATCAAGAAATGAAAAAAGGGTTAAAGAATGTTTACTTAGCTGGTCATAAATTACCAGTAAGGTTTACTATAGAACAGTGACATAGTTTTTTTACATTGGCACATTATGGCTTTGTGGGGCATAGGCAAATTGTAACTGGGGCACCCTAATTCAAATGTTGATTTTGGACAGTTTTCTTCGGGGGAATTTTTGGGGAAATATTTTGTTATAAAAGATTGGTTTGAGGTCCTATGCAATTGTCCTTTTTCTCCATAGGATAACACACCACTGGTTTTTTAATTGTATATAAAATATAATTTCAATAAACGATGTGGCTCATGATATTGGCTTGTGATGAGATTTGGTCACCCATTACATTCAAGGAAAGCAAAAGAATTTATTCAAATAAAATGGTAATTTTTATATTTTGAAATTGCCACATCTACATTGAAGTATTAGATTACCTTGAATGTGACAACTGGATCTAATGCAAATGAAGCATGCAATTGTGAAGCAATTCAGTTACTTGTGCAAAAATATGATTAGTGTCTAGAATAATTATAAAAACAAAAATTAGTTATGTATATTTCATGTGTATATTTCATATTTCATTCTGAACACATGAAATATACATAACTAATTTTGTGTTAAAAGTGATGTAAAATGTTCAAAGTGAATGCATACTTTTTGCTAACTGATGTAACCATTGTAATCGGGTGCAAGCTTCACGAATATGGTCTGGTTACAGTAATTTTTAACTGTCTTAAATGGCACAACTGAAAACATTTAATTTTAATTTTGTAAAACAATGAAATTACATTAGTGTTAGGGACATCTGTGATTATACAGTTGACATGTAAATAGAAATTACATTGCTTCATTACTAGGTTACCTTATCTCTAACTGAAATACTTTCACTTACTCTTCTAGTAACTTATCAACTGAAAAAAAATTAGTATTTATTAGCGCCCAAAGGGAGGAAAGAACCAAAGCAGAATTTCTTTTGCACCCAACAGGGACCAACCTAATTAACAAATTCTTGGTGTTCTTTGACGGCCAGAATTCAATCCTGGGTCCCCAGAGTGGTAAATTCTCAAGAGCCCAATGTGATGGTGCTAGAACACTTCATTTGTATAATGATTCTCCAACTAGGGGTAACATATTGCTATAGTTTGTGGTATATCTAACTGCTAAGAAACTCGTCCAGTTGACTTTCGGGATCTTTAAAAAAAAGTTTCTTGGATTCGATCCATATCTTCCTGAGAAGTGGTCGGTCCTTCCACCCCCTTTTTGGTGTCAACTACTAACTCTCTTGAAATTGCTTTAACAAATGTTTGACAATGTTATCTGAAGGTGGATCTTTTCCATATCTTTATTTTGAATGTTATAATGACATTGTTTTGAATAACCAGAGTGCATACGTTCTTTTCCCTCAAATAGTCACCATCTTGAAGTATGACATCTTGTCTCCCATACAGTGATGCGGCAAATAGAAAGTTGCCAAATAAAACTTGCGCCATTCATTTCATCCCTAATGACATATTCAAAGTGTACACCAAAGACATGAAATTATTTGAGAATATACTTTTGAATTGCAGCATGTGTATCACTATTTCCAAAGCTTTATTTAGTTTACCATATCCTTATTGGTCAATAACATGGTCTTTGTACTTGATTGCTTACTGTTCTCTCAATTAGTTTTATTTCCTTCGGAATTAGCACAAGATTTCCTGTGTGATTTGTTCTCAATAGCACACTTTTTGATGGAAAAAGTACGTTTATTTTCTATAATTTAAAATGATACAAATTCGGGTTTAATGCCCTTCTTCAGTCCTAAAAAATATAGTGACAGCTGGAACAACTAACTATTAAAACCTTTGGGTAAAATAAGTAAAGAAATAAATACAGCAAAATTACAGTATACCTGTAGAAATAAAAATTGTTTTTGTTAATTATTGGATAAAACCATGGTCTAATACAGTGGTGCCTCGTATAACGTACTTAATCCGTTCCAAGTGCACGTCCGTTAAGCGAATAGTCCATTATACGAAACGCATTTTCCCATAGAAATACATGTTAAAACATATAATTCGTTCCGCGGCATAAAATAACCATACTGTACCATAAAAAAAATGAAAATGGAGCGGTCACCAATTATGCAAGGTAGTCAGATGTTGACGTGGAGGAACACTTTCTTCACACATTCATACAGATATAGACTTTTTACACATTGCAAAGGGTCTTTTTTTTTTTATTGTTTTTTAATCAGATTCAGAAAAGGCTACTGGAGCTTGCAGGGTCAACTCCTCTTGTTCCATCCTTTGTTTTTTCCCTGCTGGCTTCTTGAAAAGCATGTCCAAGATGGTCTGTTTCTCTCTCTTCTTTGACACCTGTCGGAAATGACGGGCAAGGGTGTCATTGTAGAGATCATTGATACTGTTGGCCTCGGCTCTGTTTGTATAATGAGTGTTGGTAAACTCAAACCTCTCCCCATTCAACAAGGAAGTTTTTGTCAACTTTCACTCCTCCTGATGATTTCTTGCATTGTTTCAATTGAAATCACTTTTCTGGTTTTTTAGAAGCCACTCTTTGCACAACACTCAAATAAATGTAAATACCCTGCACTGAGGTGATGTACATAATAAACAAGGGAGCGAGCATAATCCCAACAGGAGCTCTGTACTTCAGATATACTGATAATATATTCTAATAATAGTAATATATTATAAAAATAGCAGATTGTCATTGGCAATGGCAAAAGAGTGGAAACATCATTCGCACTTGTTCGTAGAAAGTCCATTGGTTGCCTCACGTAACTGCCGAACGGAAAGTCCATTGTCTGCAGCCAGTCCGTTGCTCGAGTCACGTAATGGCCAAACAAAGTCCATTATTCGTGGCACCACTGTACATTAAAAACTAATGAATAAAAAAAAAATAGTAAAACTTTAAAACCAATTAAAACTTGTTAAAAATAAGGAGTAAAAGCATTCACTATGTTTATGAGAAAGTCTGATATTTTGTATGATACAGTGAATTAAAATGGCCTGGGGGAAAGAACATCTTAAAATGGACTTTTGATAGTAATGGCTGCCAGATCTTACTGATGATAATGCCAGTGTGTAAATTCTGTAAATTTCATTTATTTTAACCATATGAGTGCTTTTGTAAATTCCATCTATGTAAATTGTTACTAATGACACTTTCATTTTTTGCAATTTTAAATATAATTGTTTTGATGGAAATAGTTTTATATATATATAAAATTTTAAAACTTATTATTTTATCCCAAAATGATATATCATATCATTGTGATCTTCAAAAACATAGGAAGTTTTCTATGCTGAAGATTGTCCTCCCGGGAGGGCTTTATACAAAATATCCATTTAGTTGCTTAGCACATGTGGAAAACCCAAAAAAATTCTGCACAGACTTGGGACCAACTATTCGTTTTTGGTAGTTTTAAATGCCGTTGCACCAATAGCTTTTTGGATTTTAATATACAGTAGAGCCTTGAAAACTCGGCCACACCTTGGCAGGGCAAAAATACCCTTAGATAATTAATTTTCATCATAGACAGCTCTATGCCTCAAAGTATTTTTCTGAGGTCTGTCTTATCAGGTAAATTACTGTACACAGAGTATTCATTAATTTTCATTTTCATGTAGTAAAGGCTCTATGCCTTCATAAAGGACGTACTTTTCCTTTGTTTAAGGGTATTTGGGCAGTTTATTCTCTGTTGTATTCTCAAGCAAACAATACATACAAGTACAGTACAATGTTTTCTGAATAAACATGCATACTTATCCTTTTTTAACCCATTCCTGATAACCCGGCATTTTCACAAACTCGGCCACCCTTCAGTCCCCATTAGGCCGAGTTTGAGGCTCTACTGCCACCATACTCAACCTGCGGCCCGCTGAGCTTTTGTGAGTGGCCCGGACGTGAAAGAGAGCGGAAAATAATTACGTTGACTTCTGGAAAGTAATGCCCGATCAATGTAAGACTGTAAAAAAAAAAAAAGTGCTCAAATTTTACTTACATTGTTCGCATCAACGTATCTATGTGAAACGTCACTCTCAAAAATGAAATATGCAAAGAACATATATAAAAACTGGTTTACTGATTCACACCTGAATGCCGTTTTACGAGTAGCATGCAGCAGTTACAAGCCTGATTTATATGAATTGACGGCCAGATGGCCGAGCGATCAAGGTGGCAGCCTACCGCTCTAGGGCACTCGGGATTGGATCCGGTCGGGTCAGGGAATCCCCCAGGAATTTTTCGGGGTATGGTCTGGTCGGATTTGTTGGGCCCCATCCCTCACCACCTGGCCGAACCCATAATGGGCCTCTTAATTGGTCCCTGCTGGCACTAAGAGTATTAAAAAAAAAATTTTAATGAAATTGTGAAAAAATGTTCGCAATATCAACAATCACACTAAATTTCCAGGGTAAGTGAGAAATTAAGTAAGTTTATTATAATTGTTATGTTGTGGCCCACGTGTAATAGCTATCATGTGTATGTGGCCCGAGAGAAAAAAAGGTTGAGTATGGTGGCTCTACTGTATTAGAAAAATGCAATGTTTGAATATTTCGAGTTTAATTGATTTATTTGTTAATGTGCTTAATAACGATCGGACAACCCAAGAAGTAAAAAGGTGTCTGCCTACTGCTCTGGTTTGAGTTAAAAGTGAGTGGTTTGAGTAAAAAGGTTTGAGTTGGGAAATTTTTCACGCCACCTCGATAATCATCTTTGTAGGTCTAGCTTAATTAAGTGAGGTTTGGTTTGACTGTCTCAAAGCCTTAAAAGGGCTTTTTAAGGCGGGAGAAAAACATTGTATTGTATATAAATAAGGACACACATTCATGAATAAAAATTAATATTTTTATTACAAAACTTTGAACAATTTCTTTTTATCATCTACACTATCAGAAATTTGAAATATTAACGTTACAAATGACTTAAGATTTTTCAAAATGATTACAGTTACACAAAAATAAAATCTATATTTAGATATCTTGCAGTGACTTGTTTCTTAGACATGTTACAAATTCAAGCTCTTATTGCTAACATTTAAATTCCAAGTAAAATATAAATTTTAGTCTGATTAGAAAATCCTGTTGGGATGGATAGAAAATCTTTTTTACACACATTTCTGGATATTGTTTGGGATAAAAGCATGTTTCTGGTTCTCTTATAAAAAGCCTATTTGATTTATACAATGATTTCTTAAAAATATGATATGATCGGTCGGGAAATGGGAATGACATTCTTAGTGACCGACAATTACTTCAAATAAAAATTCTAGAAAACTACAATTTGGAAAACAAGTCACTACAAAATTTAACATTTTATAAATCTAGACATTTTAATTTTTCTTTTCTTACATTCTTTTGATGTATGAAAAGAAACCGTGGCTACAGATTACGGAACAACAACACATTGGAATATAAGAACAGAGTCTGACTAATTTAATCGTTAAATATGCACAATTAGAACAAAGCATGAATAAAGAATATCACATAGAAAAATATGTTTTTTTTTTTATAACATTCTCTTAATAAAATCCTTTTGTTAGAATTGAAAATCAAAGGATATGAACTGACAAGCTACTCTAATATGAAAAATTAGATATGTGCATTCTTAGTTACCTAGTGTAAATGTATGTACAGTATTCAAAACTTGTTTTAATTCTAAATTAAGATTTGAAGAGGTAAGCAGTGTGCTATATTATTCAAATATGATTAAAAAAAATGCATAACTGTTTTCTACCAGTCTGCAGCAGCACCCAAAATTTTGTGAATGTAATCAGAATTTCATTTTTGTTTCCTGTTTACTTAAGGCACTAAACACTGTATGCTAATACAAAAATAATTACTGGTAGACTTTTAAATAAAAATTTTCAGTTAAAAAAACAAGAGTAAGAAAATAAATAATTTGATATTGGAACAAAAAATATCAAAATAATATTGTGCAATTTTACAAATAAAGAAGTGTATTTTTAATGTACGTGTATATATAAATTCTTAACAGTTCCTTGCAATCATTTGTTTAGTACTGAAATACTGCTGATATGCCTCATACACTATATTATATATTTATATATGCATGTGGATAACTATCAAAGTCAACAGTACTATATTTCTCAATAATATTACAACATTTATAAGTACATGTGATGTGCACGCAAATAGACTGTGCATAATAAGCGTATGCATACAACATTATATACAATGTTCGTGTAAAGTACTTTCTTAGCAATTGTTTTAAAATTTGAATTATACAAGTACTTCTCTATACCAAAAACTGTCTGCAGTATTAAATTTGTACAAAATTATGGAAGTTCTATTTAGTTAAAATGTTTGCAAATGCAGTTTTTTGGGGATCAAAACATGTTATTTCAAATGTTTTATGTCTGGACTACTCTGGACAACTGATGGCTTTTGTATATTTAAATAGGTTTTGATTACTTGACAAATTGATCAATACTAAAAATTATTCATAAGTCAATCTAATCCTATATTTTACTTAAGTTCTTATATAAATTTATGGTTTTTTTAACAAATTTTTTGTACTTAAGATTTAGTAATTTACATAAATATAAACATTTGAAGTACATAAGTTTCTTCACAAGTAACTGAAAATACAAACAAGTCTGAATAGAACAGTGATGTTCAAAAATCAATTTTGATGGAAATTTCTGAATTACACAGAAAAATTATGGAATGAATAAATCCAAATACAAGCTTTGTGCATATATACAAATTTAATTTACATGAAATCATTTGATGCTTCATTACAATTAATTATAAACCTGAAATTATTAGAGATTAGAATGACTAACAGTTACTTTCAAATGATTTAAAAACCACTGTCGATTTAGAAATTTTAAAATGTCCTTAATTTAAAATTATTATTATTAAATGCTTTCTTTTATACAATTGACAAAAATAATATTTCCTGAGGCTGATGGAAATACTGCCAAATTTTAATTTTAATAAAGATAAAAACATCAAAAATTTTTATATGCCCACGGACAAAAAAAATACAAAGTTTGCAGTATTAATTACTTGTGGAAAAACATTTATTCCCCACGTGCTATTACAATATTGATATTTCGGTTGGTTCACACAAATAAGTACTAAAATTTTTTCCAAACTTGGAAATAAGCTACCTTCCTACTTCCATACCATTACAAAAATAATTTCCAGAATTCGAAAATATCTGTCTTTATACGAACTGTAAAAAATGGTTTAGAAATTGGTGATTAACTTTCATTAATTGCAATTAACTAGAATGATAATGGGTTTCATACATTGCATCCATTTTTTCCTTTTATAAATTCAAAAATATATGGTCCTTTACCATGTTAATATGTATATTTATATATAAACAATATAAAATGTGTTAATGCAAACAGTAGGTGTTAAACTTTAAACTTTGTAAAACATTTTTATTGCTTTCTTTTCTTTTTTTCAAAATAAGATTTATGTCTTTTAATCTTTTTTACTTTTTAAATTTTATTTGCATTAACACACATCGAGTAAGTAAATACTGCATAAATATAGGTACAAAATTCTACGAAACTCTCACTTCATCGTTTATGTGTCCGTTAGGGATGTTAAGGTTCTCTTGATCTTCTGCGGTCTCGGGTATTGTTTCCATTGTTACCGATCCTTCCATTAACTTCACTTTAGTTTCGTCGTCGTCGGTTTTGGGCAATGCTGTAGTGGGTGAAGTCTTGCCATAGGCAGAACCTTTGTCAGCTTTTGTAACACGAACAAGTAAATATACACCCGTCATTACTATATACAGAAAATATAAAAATATGTTAGTCAAATTAAAATATACGGATATTTGCAATATAAAGGTTTATTTAGTTTATCTGATCAATATACTGCACAGAGCTCAATTTTAAAACAACTATACATTAATAATAAAACTTCTAAATATATAAAAATCAATTCTAACATATTTCTCATTTAAAAATGTTTGTTGCTGCATAATATAGAAAATACATTTTGCATCTGTTGTATGAGCAATGTTATATACAAAAGTACTTCTAGCTCTTATAAAAATTACGAATGTACAAAATGATAAGCTTTATTGTGAAATGTAATAATAATAATTAAAATAAAATTTCAATATGTTACTGCATTTAATTAAGGCAAAAAAATTTGTTACATAAAAGTATTTACACATTTGAGTGATGGAAATGCATGCTAAACATTTATTTTTACTATTATTATTATTTATAATAATGCAAAAGAGTGAATACGATCATTTAAAAAGATCAGATTTTAAGTGATCTTGAACATTTATTTTTATTTTTGCATTTCTATTTATCTATCTATCTATTTATTCATTAATATGCTTTTTATTAGAAGCTGCAGAGCACACATTAAAATTGCATTTAATTTCTGATTAAAATATTAACACTAGAGAAAAATTTACTGAAATTTAAGGAATTTGTTAAGGAGACAAATTTATATTTTGTAAAACATTATTATTCATTAATAAAATCCTATAAATAACTGCCTATAATTTCTTCTTTTCAAAGTCTTCTCAGTTTTAGATTAACGGACAACAGGATAAATTATTTTTATGTAATAAAAACACATTAAAATAGATTAAGGTTTTAAACTAAAATGAAAGAATCTGTTCATTGAAAATTCTGATAATTTGAAAACAATCAATTCATTAAAAACAGCTAAATAATAAATATTTACTATAATTTAAGTTTAATAATTTCTCCTAAGATTTCTCTTACACATTTTTACACCTTCTTACACACTCTTACACCTTTTAAATGGGTATTCAACGTTCAGCATTAATTAAACAATTTAAATAACAAATTTGATTACTTAAGTTTTCAGCTTAAAAAAACAATGAGAAATTAATTATAAATATTAAAAATAAATGTTTAATCTGCATTTTTCAAAAATTATTTATTGCATTGAATTCTAACCTAACTTATTCTAATAGTGAAGTGATTTATTTTAAGTTGTTGTAATTCAATGCAATAAAATACAATCCTTAGATTTATAATTAATAATTTTAATTCAAATAAATTTACCTGTTATAACAAGCGTCCATGCAATCATGATGACAACAGTATTTCCAGAAAGAAACATTAACCATAAACCATAAATAAAAGGTGTTCCCACTACTAATGACCAAAAAATCATATTGATAATGGGATAAGGACGACGAGAAAATTCTATGTATTTTCCAGGAAATTTTCCAGTTTGAAGATATTCCTCCATTATTTTGTCCTGTAAAAATATTTAAAATTTATTGTTGTATTGCTATACTAGAATCTTATTTCTAAGTAAATAATAAATTTGATTCCTTAAGTTATTAATTATCTACTACATATTTCGATCTAAAACTTAAACAGGTTAGTTAACCGTTGTATAACTATTGTAGTAATTTACCGATGTAATAATTAAATTTACCAAATTTATAGAAATGTAAAAATCCTGAAGAGGGGTGCAAATTAAAGAAAATATTGCACCCGAAATGCATAGAAAATAAAGAATATGAATAAAAGCTTTGTCTCTGATTAAATGCGGTCCAGGCACAAAAACGGGGGTTATTTAGGTACAATTAACCCATAAAGTTTTTCCATCAATTTTGAGGAAATATTTTTGAAAAATTGATTTTTTAAAAGTGAAGATTAAGATTATAGCCGATTTTACCCATTTTCACTGGGTGCAATAATTAGGTTACCTCCTCTTTCAAGGCTAATTAGAGAATTTTTAGATGGGTCTAAAAATATGTTCGATTTTCTGCAAAAACATAAAAAACTGCACCTAAAATATTACAGTAGAAGCCGAGTTCTTCGGGGTAATCCTTAACCCTCTCCATCTCCCCCTTCGGCGGAGTATGTAATGAGAATGCACACTAACTGTGTATCAAATTGCAACTCCTCACCGTTTGGTCTATGTGCTTATTATTATTATTATTAACCCATATCGATTATAATATAAGCTGCATAATAATTTTAGGGTTTAAAATAATCGACAACTACAACCATCACCACCACCACCACCACCACTCTAGGCATTGTAAACAAGGATACTAAAAACAAAATAAATTTTGTTACAACTTGATAAAAGCTATGTAACATACAGTCCATACCCAAACATCAAATCTTGGACAATTACAACAATATATGCAAACAGTCTTCCATAGAAATTACATGACAAATCCTTTGGAATGTTGTCTTATGGCCAGAAGCAGAAATGAAAATGAAAAACACTAGACAAAACAACATGCTAACGCCAAAAGACAGTTATCTAATTCATTGTCAAGCGAGTCCAAATCTCGGTAACCGAAAATGAACTGTGCAAATATATTACACATTGTGCTTTTGCTTAATGTTTGAAAAATAAATTGACTTGTTAATGAATGAGATTTTTTTTTTATTAAAAGTTTAATTTGGATTTGTATCCAAATTAAACTTTTAATCACAAGTAAAATATCGAATGTAAATGCACACATTGTCCTGCAAAAATTACTGGCATTTTAAACTTTTGACAATTGCTATAAGAAAATAGTATCTGAAAGTTCTGGTGCATGTTAATCTAAAAATTAAATTTCAAATAGTACCCAAAGCAGTACTAAAAACACATTTCATGAATTCAACTTTTCCTTCACTTATTCCTTTAGTATTCTGAAAAATGAGGAATTAATATATTTATGAACTGCATCTACCATGGCAATGAATATGTGGTTTGGATAGAAAGTAATATTTGGAATTTTTCAAATAGGCTATAACCATAATAAACACAATGTTGGTTGTTATTGAATCTGCTTAAAATGGAATTTGTTAAGGTACAATAGTTTAGTGATAATTACATATAAATAGTTAAATTAACTATAGTCCTCACTTGTAGATTTAATAAACATCTTTTATTATATACAGAATAAAAGCCAGATCATAATTCAGATGGTCTGAATCTTTAAATTTAGCTTAATATTTTTGATAAAGAAAATACTTTGATATGCTAATTCAAGCTACTCTGTAGTATTTTGTAATCCATTTATAACAAAGAAAACAAGAATCTAGACTAGTCAGTTCAGCATGTATTGTCAGACTTCCCTCCTCTACATATAAAATTTGAGTTTTCTATTTAATACTGTTTTTACTTGGATATACGACGAGGTTTTTATTCATTTATCAGAGCTTCAAATTCCTAGATTGTCCTATACATGTGAGTGAAAAATTCTTTGCATTTTTGCAAATAATTTTTGTGAACTGTGTATTTGCATTTATAATGGATGCTTACCCTCTTGTATTTAAAAAAACAAGTATTTTATCTGGATTGTTTGAATCTTTCTTGTATATTGTCAGAAGTAAAGATGAAGAGCAATAGGAAAAACAAAGCTTTTGAATTGAATTGCAGATTGAAATTCCAAAATCACACAGGAGCCCGATATAAGTTTTAATCCATTCACACATGAAAACAGATGATTATTCGGAGAAACTTATAAGTGTAATCAATGGAGAGTGGATTCAACCGTTAAGACTTGGCAAAAAAAGGTCCCCAATTGTCCCACTCTACATAAGCAAATTATTTTGTCGATTTTATAACATTTTTCCTTAAAGTTTAAAATGCCAGTAATTTTTGCAGGACAATGTGTGCATTTACATTCATTCAATATTTTACTTGTGACTAAACAAAATAAAATTAGAGTTGTATTAATCTAATTTTCTTTATTTTGATCTTTAAAATCACACCTCATCCTAAATGTGAGGGAGTCTTATATCTGAGTAAATACAGTATTTTGAGATGTGCTTGTTGTACTAGGACATCGTGCAACTGTCATATCACAATAGAATTGAAGCGGAGCTGGAAGGAAAGAAGCGATCCCAGCATCTGTTAGGCACAGAACAGGCAATTCTTGTACAGTACCTGACGGACACAGATGGGTGAACTTTGCACTTGCCGCCACAAAAGTGGCTATTCTCTTACCTGCAGGCCGTGGGAGACATGATTCCTGTACTGGCCAGGTATGGAGAAACGATCCAAGAACAAAGCAATCAATGGCGATTGCTTTGTTTTTGTATTTTGTTTGTTTTTTGTGCTTATTTTCCATCAGGCGCACATAATACTGTTTTTATTTTTGACCCTACGCCTAAATTTCATTAGGTGATCTCTTTGCATCAGAGAGCATGGATATTGTTTTCAATATACAAAGGTATTACAGTGACAATGTCATAAACTCTTGTTTTCACTTTCCCTCTGTTATAGATAAGGGCCAGGAAAGTATGACAATCTATCAATAAAGACCTCCCAAGATTTGTACATTTTTTGACTTAGGGGACCTTTAAGCTTAATAGCTCCCATGCTCTTAAAAATTTCTGAAATTTTGCAAGAAGGTTTGTTTATTAGACAGATTCATGCTATTTAATTACCAGTCAACAAGGTAGGTGATAAAGGGTAGTTGTGATTCATATCTCAAATAGGCCAGATTTAATGATGATTTTACTTGTTATTAGCATTTACTATTTTTTATAAAACCCAGCCCTACCCTCAAAATTAAGCTTTATGCCACTTTATAATAATTAAAAATACAAACAAACAGTTTTTTAAATAAAATGTAACAGATAGCACCACCAGAATTTTAAATGTTACCAGAAAAGTTAAGCGATTCAGTGCTGGATTTTTCACATTTAAATGGACCCACATTACATTTCTTGATTCCTCGTCTCAATTAATGGAAAATGACAAAGTTTTATTAAAATCAATCCATTAAATTTTGAGAATGAACTCGATTCTATAAGACCATACAAGACTTGCTAGCGGCCATAAAACATCGCACAACAAAGTCATAAGATCGTTTTACAAGTGCATGTATCTTGAACAAGTCATGGACACCCACATTTTTATTGCAGTTTTGGATCCTCATTGCAATTAGTGGAAAATGGCAAAGTTTAATCGAAATTGATCAAACAGATTTTGAGAACAAGCACAATTCTGTAAGCCTCATAATAGCAGCTTTGCTAATGCTCCGCTTAAATGAAAATTTTAAAAACTTTATAATTTCTACTGATTTGTTTTACATGAAAATCTGACATGTTTTATGATATTAAAAATGCATTGAAGAAACTAAATTCGTCTTTGTCTCCATCACTTAGTCACAAGGAACAGTTTTCATTTACAGACTATACATCTCTAAAATTATACAAAAAACAGTGTTAAAATATTCTTTAACATTAATGCCAAAAATTAAACAGTTTTTGGATGTACAAATACTGTCAGCCATTTCAATCAAATTTTGTTTAAAATTTTTTTATATAGCAGGATTTCAAAAGTTAGTAATTTTATTACATACTCTTTAAAAATCTTCAGTCTGGAAACTACATTAATAATTATATTCATTCTGGGAAATGCATTTAGAGTTAAAGTTTAACTTCAGTTTGTTTATATATCATATATGATATATGTTGAATTGTTTACTGAAAGAATGGTCAAAATTTTACCTTTTATATGCCATTATAATTATTAAATAAATTAAAAACTAACATACAATCTAGATTCTGAAGGTAATGAGAAACAAGCCATGCAAAAAAACACTGATCCAAATTCCAACTTCAGCTAATTTGTTTTCTAATTAAATTTTTAGTTTTCTAATTAAATTTAGTATACAAATTTAATGATAAAAACATTTGAAAATCTCTATTTTAGAATTATAAATATTAACTTTTAAATGTAATTAATGATCATAATATGTAATAAGTTTAATTATTTCTTAATTTACTTTTGAATATAAAATTATTTGTAATCTGGTCATCTTCAAGAAAGTAAAAAAACTCTTAAAATTAAGTACAAAATTAATGCCCAAACACTAAAAAACTGTCAATATATCATCTCAATAAGAAGTTTCATTTTTTATATCTTAATGTCAGCTTGGACTTACTCTCAAACCCATTGATGAGGAGGCTTACAATGCATTTGGAAAAAAGGAAAGATGAACTTGCTTAGTGTTTTTATTCATTCCAATCTGTACAATAAGTAAAATAAGCCCAAGTTGATGTAAGATATTAAATACAAAATCAAGGACAAGAAGCTATTTCTACAAGTGTATAAATATAAAATTCAAAAATTAGAACCAATGGGATCGGTTATTCAATAATCACTAAAAAGAAATTATTATTTTCAGTTAAAAACAAGTAAAAAATACTCCAGACTGAGGATTCTACAGGTCAAAACTGGCAAACAAGTGACAAGAAAGCCGGTTTTGACCTGTGGAATCCTCGAAGTCTGAAGTAGATAGTATTTTTTACTTGTTTTTAACTGAAAATATTTATTTTTAGTGATTATTTCTACAAGATTTATTTAAAAGAAATAAATAAAAATTCAACTTTTTAACTATATCAACACACCTCAAAATTTAAAATTGTGTTTCATGTATTTGAGATATTTATTCTAACATAATTATTAACACAACATAACATTAAATATACATATTTGTTAAATTTTTTACATGAATTAATTGAATTATATTACCTTTCGCTGATATAATTCGTGGAGCCATTTCGAGCACTCCTCATCTGAATCAATAGGAATTTCTTGTATTGGTATTCGTCTAACATACATATCACCAATTAATTTACGGCCAAACAAAATATTTAGCATCGTAGGCTTGGGCGTTTCGGGGAATGCAATTTCAATATCATAAATAGCTTGTGCTGAAAATTTATTATTAGACCAAATCATGAAATTGTCTAAGAATTCAATAAAATTTTCTGAATTATATTAACATGAAAATTATATTTTTAAAAATAAATTTAGAAACATAACACATTATGAAATATAAATTCATCTTGTATTACATATAAAATTAGAAACATCCAAATCAATAGGAACTGCATTTGTTCACTACATAGAAAAACAAAATAAAATTAGTGATAAACATGTTTGTCACATGTAATACATTTAGAAATTCTCTCCATTTGATTGCATAGATAATGGTGTGGATACTATAAAATTGATCAGTTTTAAAGTAAACTCTGTATGTAAATAATAAATGAAATTTTTTATTTTGTTACAAATTGAATAAAATGAAAATAAAAGTTGTGGTTTACATTTATAGTGGACTCGGCAGATACTGGTTAATGGATATTTTCTTTGTAATACCATACATACAAAACATTTTTGTTTTGGTACAAAAACAATTCAAAATGATTGAATTGTTGATATTTGTTTTATGTTCTTTGGTGAATCTGAAAAGTGGCCTTTTACCAATACACATACTTTGACTTTCTGCCCTAAAATTATTAAGCCTACTGGGTACAGCCAGACCTGCAAAGGGACAGCTGGATGGTGAGGTACTGAGTCCGACAAAGCCAGATGGACCACCCTAAAAAATTCCTGGAGGGTGTTTTGACCCACCCAGATCTGATCCAGTCTCTCCCAGAATGGTAAGCTGCCACCCTAACTGCTTGGCCATCCTGCCACTAAAGTTTCCTTTTAATTAGTTCAATCTTTAATTATCATCCAAAACAAACACGAACAGTAGCACTAATTTATATTTACTGAATTTCAGAGTTATTTTCTTTTGATTTCAGGAAAAAAAAGGAGAGTTAATGGTGTCAACAGTATATGAACTAAGATTATGATTATATTAAACTGTACAAAATTATGCTTGAAGTTACATTCTGAATGTTCTGTGATGTCACTGTATCTTAACAACAAAGATCTATGTAAATATTGTAGGAGTTTCATTCTTCAATATTGAATTACTTCAATTAAATTTATTAAAATCAAGAAATATTGACAATGATATATAGGAGTAATTTTTAAAAATTTTCTTCCTAATTCATTAATATATTTATTTTTGGAAAAGCAGCTTTTAGAAATTTATTTTATATACAATTTAATTTAAATTTTAATATCATTTGATGTATCAAATTCTTATGTACAGCCTGATCATAATCACTTTGGAAATCTTGACTTATTGATGACAATAACTGACAAACATTCAGCATATTATATAAGTAAACAAGTGTACAATTAGTAAAAATTTATTCTGATTACTTGCATTATAAGGATATGTTAAAACAATTTAAGTTTTTATAACTTGGAATTTTAATTGTAATTAAAATACAATTCATTCACTATTGCTTGCTTGCCATCACCTTTAACAACATTGGATTAGAAGTAAGATTTGCCAGAAATTTAAAACACTGTACTGAGAGCAAATAATTAAAATGATCAGTGTTTAACACTGGCTAAAACTGATAACAATTTCTTGTTATCAGCTATATCTTGAAACAAAGGGCAAAGTTTCAATAGTTATCTGCACAAAATTATTTTTCTTTAACAAATTTTATGTAGTAAAATTATGTCTTCACAATCCACTGTTTCAGTCATCACCATTGACAAAAATTCACTTAGAGACCACTTTTTTTTTATAGAGGCATAGCCTCAAATAATGTAAATTGGTTTTAAAATATCCTCAGTGCAGAGGCATAGCCTCAAATAAAAGGTTGTCTCTAAGTGAAGATTTGTGTTTTTGGTTGTCAACAATGACTGAAACAGCAGATTGTGAAGACTTTGTATTCTTTGTTATGATTTTTCTGTCAATTACTATTGATCATTTTTTATTAATAATTTTAGTTTAACAAAACAAAAAATTAAATTATTTCAATTCTGTTCATTACAAATAACCTAAGACTGCTATTATAATGTAAACATTTTTGTTTATTAATTAATCCTTCCATGAAAAGTTTCTTTGGGTGCAATACTTATAAACCTTGAATTACTGACATATATGATAAGTAAATTTTTTCAAGTGTCTCTTGGAGAAAGTTGAATTAAATTTATCAATATTTGAGGTTATTTCACAGTTTGCTTGTATTATGATGATCATTGACAAATTGAATTTTAGTATACTTTTAAAATTTGGTTGTTAGTATAATTCTCTTGAGATAACTCCACAGCATCCCCCAAATAAATAATTTTAGAGAAAAATTATACATTTTTAAATATATAGAGAATTTCCTTTAAGAATTTGTAGATAAATGGAAGACAATTTCAAGACATTTTTGAATAAATCTTTTCATTGATAACAAACACCACATTCAAAATCAAGAAAAATCAATAAAAGTGAAATATAGAAACATCTTAGTAAACCAAACATTGAATTCTAGAAAGTTCATAATTATAACTTGCAATTTAGACAGATCATTTAAGATACAAAATTATTGTTAAATCAAACCAAACTGTCCTTCAAATGAAGAAAATGTCAAAATATAACATTATATATTGTAATGTCTAGGTTTTCCTACAATAATGTAAATATATTATTACATAAATCTTTAATAAGTAATAAATATTCTGTAAAAACCTAGTTATGTAAGTGCATATTTTGATTATTTTTGTGTCACATATGTGTAAAATGGCAATTTTAACTACATAATAATACAATCTTACTTTTATTCTTTAAATGCTGAACACAATAATTAAATCCTTTAGTTCTTGGAAGCAAATGATATTTCAATTCAGTCAAGTTCTTTTGACGAGCATATTCCATGCTTGCTTTGTGTTTTTCTGGTGTAAATCTTGTTCCTTCACAAAATAATAGTATCTATAAATACCAAATATATAAAATATTTAATTATGTCATGAATTAAAATTTAAATATAAATACCATTTATTTATTAGAACTAATTTTTTGAACTAATTTAGTCCAGCATCTGCTCTCCGAGTGGAACTTCAAAATTTAACTGAATCTTATCTAAAGCTCTGCTCTAAGCTAATGCTGGACTAACTTAGACCAAAAAAATTGTTTCCTTAATATCTTATTTTTTAATTTTTAATATTGTATAAAATTTCATTCAATTTTTTTGATAAATATCATAATTTCCTGCTTATAACCCATAGAAAGTTGCNGTACATACTGTTAAATATATGTGTATTTAATCATTATGTTTACAACGACAAATGTTTTTAAATTGGTGTTTTAGAATTAAATTGGTATAATGAAATTATATTTCCTTAAATTTGCCCTATATGTGTAATAAATGTCAAACAATACACACATTCTTAAATTACAACAGTCTTCTGTTTTTCCAATAAATGATAAGAACTTTTTTTTTTAATTGAAATTAATAGGGGCGTGTCCTGACAGCAAAGGTGTTGGTGACTTTTTGGTAGAGCTGTTCCGAAGAAAGTTAGTATGGAAGTTTTAAGAAATAATGTCAATTATCAAGATATTATAAGAAGTCAAATGGGTCCACTAACTTTGAATTTAATAACAATTCTGCTAATTATGGCTGGAATAGGAAAAAATCCCGGTCCTCTTCAATGTTCCCCCCTCAGGCAAGTCAAGTAACTATGCAAAGAAGGGGGCGAGGTAGACCTCGAAAGGATTATTCACAAGTTACGGAAGAAAATAATCAGTTAGTAGAGTTGTTAGGAGAAGATTATCTATCCGAAGAAGATATGAGAGAAACTACAGGTGCTACAAAAAACACTACCATTAAGGATTTTTTGAACCAACAGAAAACCTAGGATATCTAAGTGATAACGAACCCAGATACTCATTAAAATCGATTTACAAATTGATTCGGGAGAAGTTTGACCTTCTGACCCAAGATATTCAAACAATTAAATCTGAAATCAGCTGTATGAAGGAAGACAATGCCAAGATTAAAGATGAAATGAAGAACATTGGTCATAAAATTCACACATTAGAAAAAAGGACTAATTCCTATGCCAATTTAAAAGGTACTTTCGAATTTGAACTCAATAAAATATTAAACGGAAATACAAGAAAAAATCTAGTTATCATGAATTTTCCTTTTAAAACTTCTGAGGGTGTAGAAGAACTCAAAAAATTTATAAATGAAGATTTAGATTTAAATAATATTGAAATTGAGGGTTAGTTCAGTTAAAAAATAATCCAAATAATCAAATGGTAAAAATTATAATGGAAACAGTCAAAGACAGAAATCTAATTCTTAAAAAATTCTGGAGAATGAGACCAAAAATGGATGATGAGAAGAAAAAAATAATAATAAAAACCGATTTATGTTATCACTCTAGAATTAGAAGAAAGCAGTTACTCCAAAAGATTAGTCAGAATATTCAGATGGCAATAGATATAGAGTAATAGACGACTACTATATTAAAGATAATTTAATGTATACATATGATATAAATACAAGAGAGATCATATTAATTAATCAATTTTTAGGATTAGCAACAAAACAAACTTAGATAAATTAATAGAAAAAACTAATATAAAGCACGAAAATTATGGAATGAAAAAGCTGACGTTAAATAATAATAATACGAATGAAGATAATTCGTCTATTATAAATAACAATTTTAAGGTGATCAATATAGATTGGTCGAATTATGAAAGCAATAAGATGAATATAAGTTTCTGGAATATCCAAGGTTTAAGAGAAAAAAAATACATAAATCGTCAGTGAGAAAATTCCTAAATTCAAACGAAATCGTTGGAATTACAGAAACATGGAGTCTCAACTTGAGTATGACCGAAAAAAATTATTTAAAACAAGAGAATAATATCATAATGAGTAAGGCCATTCGTAAAAGTAAATTTGGCTGTCCATCAAGTGGTATCCTGTTGCTAATTAAGAAAAAATTTGGAGTCATTCTTTGTCAGTATACTCTAGAATACTTTATAGTCGTTATAATAAAAGTTGATAATGAAATTAAAACTATATGGAATTATCCATATTTGGGTCTAGTAGTAATGTACCTCCCACCATTAATTGATAAGAAATCCATATTACAAGAAGTACAGTATTATTTAAATAGATGGTCCTTTTCAGTCCAACTATGGCTGATTGAAGGAGATCTTAATGCACATATTGGCAAAAACTCTGATACAAATGTTTTTCAGAATTATGATAATATTACAGAAGACTACTGAAAGATAAATTACTATATACAGATGGTAAAATTCTCTTGGACTTTGTACAAGATAATCAGTTAATTATCTTAAATGGTAGAATGAAAGCTATGTCCTCTTCTCGTGTTTTCTGATCACTAATTCACAAAGTGTTCCTGATATTGGGCTGACCATCGGCACACCCCTTGTTTGTATGTAGGTGACCCCTTATTCGAAGAAGGACAAGTGGACCATCAAGTGTGCTAAATCCAACATAGGGAGATACTTATAACAATTTGGTACAAAAACAATTCAAAATGATTGAATTGTTGATATTTGTTTTATGTTCTTTGGTGAATCTGAAAAGTGGCCTTTTACCAATACACATACTTTGACTTTCTGCCCTAAAGTTATTAAGCCTATTGGGTACAGCCAGGCCTGAAAAGGGACAGCTGGATGGTGAGGTACTGAGTCCGACAAAGCCAGATGGACCACCCTAAAAAATTCCTGGAGGGTGTTTTGACCCACCCAGATCTGATCCAGTGTCTCCCAGAATGGTAGGCTGCCACCCTAACTGCTTGGCCATCCTGCTACTAAAGTTTCCTCTTAATTAGTTCAGTCTTTAATTATCATCCAAAACAAACACGAACAGTAGCACTAATTTATATTTACTGAATTTCAGAGTTATTTTCTTTTGATTTCAGGAAAAAAAGGAGAGTTAATGGTGTCAACAGTATATGAACTAAGATTATGATTATATTAAACTGTACAAAATTATGCTTGAAGTTACATTCTGAATGTTCTGTGATGTCACTGTATCTTAACAACAAAGATCTATGTAAATATTGTAGGAGTTTCATTCTTCAATATTGAATTACTTCAATTAAATTTATTAAAATCAAGAAATATTGACAATGATATATAGGAGTAATTTTTAAAAATTTTCTTCCTAATTCATTAATATATTTATTTTTGGAAAAGCAGCTTTTAGAAATTTGTTTTATATACAATTTAATTTAAATTTTAATATCATTTGATGTATCAAATTCTTATGTACAGCCTGATCATAATCACTTTGGAAATCTTGACTTATTGATGACAATAACTGACAAACATTCAGCATATTATATAAGTAAACAAGTGTACAATTAGTAAAAATTTATTCTGATTACTTGCATTATAAGGATATGTTAAAACAATTTAAGTTTTTATAACTTGGAATTTTTTTAATTATAATTAAAATACAATTCATTCACTATTGCTTGCTTGCCATCATCTTTAACAACATTGGATTAGAAGTAAGATATGCCAGAAATTTAAAACACTGTACTGAGAGCAAATAATTAAAATGATCAGTGTTTAACACTGGCTAAAACTGATAACAATTTTTTGTTATCAGCTATATCTTGAAACAAAGGGCAAAGTTTCAATAGTTATCTGCACAAAATTATAATTTTACTACATAAAATTTGTTAAAGAAAAATAAATGTCTTCACAATCCACTGTTTCAGTGACCATTGACAAAATTCACTTAGAGACCACTTTTATTTTTTATCGAGGCATAGCCTCAAATAATGTAAATTGGTTTTAAAATATCCTCAGTGCAGAGGCATAGCCTTAAATAAAAAGTTCTCTCTAAGTGAAGATTTGTGTTTTTGGTTGTCAACAATGACTGAAACAGCAGATTGTGAAGACTGTATTCTTTGTTATTTTCTTCTGGCAAAGGTAGAATGAAAGGTGATGTTTCCGCAGAATTCACGTTTATATCTCGAAATGGAAAGTCAACTATAGATTACATTATATGTTCAGAAGCTATGATAGATTACTATATGACCCTTACAGTTCTGGAAGATGATACTTCAGACCATTTTCCGATACAACTGAACTTAAAGTAATAAAATAAGCTAGTACATAGTCAGGGTTTTAATATGGAATATCGTCCAACATATAATAAACGAAAATGGTTGGAGGAGGTTGAGTCTGTAATTGTTGATCTAATAAATTTAGAAGAAGAGAACGATCCTATAACTGACTATCAGAGGCTTTTAACCAAATTAGGAAAATTCAGATTTAAGAAATGTAGACGATTTTATAAGCAAAGATATAAAAACGAATGGTTTGATAACACTTGTTATATCCATAAAATCAAAAAACAAAAGAGTTTGCAAGCCTTTAGAAAAACCAACACAAAAGAAACACTTATAAAATACGTATAAAATAAGAAAACTTATAATAACTTAATCAAAGCAAAAAAGAAATTATACTTTTCGAATATTAGTAAGAAATTAATATGATGAGAAAGAGTGATTCAAGAATATTTTGGATGATAATCAATAATTTTCAAAAAAAGAAGTTGGAATATAATATACAAAGTAGAGTGGACTATGATAAATGGGTCATATACTTTAAAAAGTTCACAGAACACTATTTGTGTAATCGGAGACAAACATATACGGAAGTTGGGACAATTCATCTGATAAACCAAGACGAGATAATTAAGGTAGAAGAAGTTCAGAAATGTATACATAGATTGAAAGACAAATCTACACCTGGATCAGATATGATCCCCAATTCACTTATCAAACTATTTCCTACAGAACTAATTCATTATTTAACCAGATTATTTAACAAATTATATACGTATAGTTTAATACCAGCTAAATGGAATGAAATCATACTTACAATGATATTTAAACAAGACAATAGAGGTGAACCATCGAATTATAGACCAATCGCATTAC